CTAGTTTCCAACCTAATTTAGGGTGAACGGTAAAAACTGAGAAAACTAGAGAATGACCTGTAGGCTTCTCAAGAAAGAGAAGTGATTGATTTTTCCAGTTTCAATGAATAATAGAATATATTAGGTTGTTAAGTAAGTTTCGCAACTACTTTAATAACTTCTATCTCTTTGCTGACGCACTCAAATCTTCCCATCGTGTATGTAGGTTGTGAGGTAAGCTACAAGCGAGCAATAGTTCGGCAAAATTTTGAAGTCGCTGTTCACGGTAGATGTATGGTATAAGGTTAAAATTATATGTTATCCCAAATTTGGCTGAAACGCATAGGTGGGTTATCTGACAGCTAATCACAAAAACTACTTTGGTTTTGCATCGTAGGGACTTTTTTGTAGGATTACAGGGTTTACGTAGTGGGGTCTCACGTTAAACAAGCAAAGAGGCGTTTGATGAATGAACATGGTGTTATTATTATTTGGCACGGCAGACAACCTCAACATGCGAAGTTTTGGCGAATTACGGAATTTCGAAACCTTAGTGATTGACGCTCTTCATTGTCCCCAAGCAGCTTTGCATAGGTTCGTTCAACTTTGTGAAAGCGCCAAATCTTGAGTTGCGTTCGAATTCCATTTCTCCTTACTGCGCTAGATGAGTCAACCTCTAGCAACAAATTATGCACACTGACTGTTGCACATGCTATACGTTAAGAAAGACTTCATTTTTACTCAAAGCTCCACGAATTTTCGAAAAAAATTTCGATTTTCAAAAAGCGGGCGATTTGTGCCAGTTTATCGCTCAACGGCCTTCTATACTATATCAAAATTTGAGCGCGCGAATATCAAATATCGAAAAGTTACGGATTCAATTGCAAAACCTAGTTAACAGTGTAATATCATTTTCTTGAGAAAAATACTTTTATAAGGTCATTTACGTACCTAATATTTTTTATACGTGCTGAAATGCATCACTGCGACAAATCATGAACTTCGAGCAATACCTTCACAGGGGGCATGTGAGACCATGCAAGACACCAGTGCTGTGATGAGTGAGGGTACAATTACCACCGCGCTGGCTTGCTGGCCTCACCGTTAGAGTCAGATATGGTCATTAGCATCTTCGAGAACGATATGTGTTATTTAATGCCTTGCAAGTGAACACATGTTTTTTGACATTTGGGGTAATTGCATATGGATTGATAAAGCGTAAACATCTCATAGAGCTCTTTACGCTTTGTCCATCCATATGCAATTACCCCAACTTTCATCTACTTTCAGAAAATATAAATTGAAATACATTTTCTAGTTTTATTGCTCCAAAAAATCGCAATTTATCATGTTTTTTGCATTTTTGGAAACTGACAGGAATCCTACATATTTGATATACCTTGAAAGAGCATGAAGAGCTCTTTTGAATGGTATGTTACTTGCTTCGTGACTTTACGCCGTAATAGCATAGCAAGATTGAGAGATGTTCGATGTTCGATATTGAAACCTGTTCAAGTTTTTTACGGCGCCAAGCGTAGGGTTGCGGGAGAGGAGTGTTAGCGCTTTACCAGAATAACAGTAGAATGTTGCTTTTATCAGCAACGTCTGAGATGCAGCCTGCTTGCTGTTGATGAAAACAAATAATCTCAAAATGTAATAAAAATGGATATGTCGCATTTTTTGCCGTTCATCCTAGTAATATAATGCTATCAATACGTAAACAAAAATAGGCTTAGGCTATGTCGCCCTGAAATGGAAAAGAGCTACGGTATTTGGACCAAATTTTGCGCTCATAAATTTCGAGACGGGGCTTGTATTAAAGAGCTAATTCTGCTATTTACTGGACTTCTACATCAATTCAGTGATTCTTCACTTACCCCTATTTTTCCTAGAAAATAAGAGGTAAGTGAGGGTAAGTGAGCAGAGAAGGTAAGCCAGCATGCCTGCATGATTACGAGTAAAAGAACCATTCTTTGGTTAAACTCCTCTTTCAATTCGATAATTTTTTCCGTACTCTAGTTTAGTGAGCTCCAAACGGTGCAGGGGATTGTGATCATGCGCCTTATAATCTCAAGGGAATCATCCATTGCATTAGTCATTGAAAAGAGCGAATATAATACCCAGACGATAAAATGGCCGAAAATTCCAACAGTATAATTTCTGATAACTCCGGTGGCAGCGAAGTGGCTGATTTATTTATTGTATTGGATACTGCACTCTGACAGCTAACGTTTTAATACGGTACCGAACGTTAGCCTGAGTAATATAGGTGTAGTACCAATCTTGTTTATCGGCGGGGAAGATAAACATGAGTCATTGAAGGTGTGCCAAATGCGATCTTCAAATGCTCATAACTTATCATTAGTATAACCAGTGAGGAAACAATTAAAGGACTGTCTTACATGTATATCACTTTCCAACTTTGCAATCCCAAAATTGGTGGAGACAAGTTGGACACCGCTTTCACTGTAGAATTACGGTAGAAACTTTCGGCACAATGTCATGCTGCAAATCAGCTCAGCTCACAAAACAAAAAAAAAAATGAAAATCTTTGCGGTGGGATTTTGGATTTTTGAGCTTGCATTGTGGATATTTAGATAACTTCTGCATGCTCGTAAACATGTTTAGATGGTACAATTTTTTGTCATTATTGGAGGAACCGCTGTTAACCTGTCGTAACTTTCCAGCTACAATAATGGTGAAACGGAAAGCATGTATGGAATCATTTTGAATTAGTTGAGCTATTAACGAAGTTCTCTAATCGTTGGACAATTTTTTGGGGTGATCTATGGAGTTAATTGATTTGTCAGAACTCTATCAAGTGTTACCATCACTATGGTATTGAAGAAGGACTAAGTTGGAGTAGCCCCAAGCTGATACCTAAGAAACCGTGAAAGTGCTTAGGCAGATTAGTTATCAGCGTCCAAACAATCGATATTTTCGGGACCGCCACCATCCTCAGCGATTACTAGCTGGCATACCTGTAGTTCGGCCCTTGTTATGCAAATCACCATTGCTTACTTATGACGCCCATATTACCGTCTCCTTCTACAAGTCAGCTACCTGTCCTCCTCCGAACTATTCTTCCAATTAGCAGGACATTCCTTGTGGCAACTCTTCAGATAATCGCCGGGGGTAGGCGGCCATGCGAATTTTGAGCAAGCGGGCACCGAAAAAATAGTTCGCTGATTTCATGCGGTCCGCTCGCATAAATTTGAAAGAACGTTGGCCAATTTTTAGAGGAAGCTCGGAGAACTATCGTGGTTTTCCTATAGATTAGTTGCGGCGCAGTGGCCGCATTCTCGCTGACTCTCCGCGAAAATATGCAAAAATATTAAGGGCCGCACAGTCCTTTGTGAAGGACCGCACAGCTCGTAGGTGCTTTCCGCTGAAAGAAGGTACCTCAAACTTGAGTAATTAAACCATCGATGACACCTCTGCTATGTAGAGTCTCATCTTTACTCGGCGTATGTCCGAAACTGCGTTGAAAGAGTCTAGCTCTTGCTGAAAGTTAAGCCAGCTCTGGCTAAAAGAAATTATTTGCGGAGCGCTGCAGAAAATGCTGTATTGTTGCCCGCTGGCAAAATATGCGAGCGTAAAGGAAGTGCCGCCCGCTGAAGGTTTGGCCAGCCCCAAAATTTGCTGAACGCCTGCAGAGAAGCGCAAGTTTGCGGACCGCCTGCCCCCGGCGATTATCTGAGTCTCAGCTCCACTCTCAAAGTTCTCAAAGTTTGCAAAAAATAAGCAGAACTGATAAAAGTGATTGATAGTGTGAAAATCACTACTGTATTCGCAATGAGCACGTTCACTTGCACCTGCGCCAACTCCCAAGTTCTGTAGCTCTTTGCAGGAGAGTCAAAATCGATAACGAAAGTTAGCCTGTTACACCCCCCTCCCTCCCCCCTCCCTCCGAAGTGCGTGTGTGCATTTGGCCCAGATCTGTTCTGAATGTTATGTTGTGTACGGAAACAAACAAACGAACAAACACAATTCACAATTATTATTGAGTTGTTTCATAGCTGCGCGTTTTCATTGACCCACGAAATGACAAAATTTTATGTTATTCAACTGTACGCTGCGTTGTTGCGCACAACCTTCTGAAACCTTGCTGCCAGATGTCCATTCCTGTTTTCCAACAATGAGAGAACCTGATTCCAAAGAATATTGTTTAATCTGCGCCAGAGATCATCTTTATAACAGGAACAAGTACCATTCATATGATTTGCAAGAGAGCGTGGCAAATATGGTGGGGTGAGGTCTGAGGAGTACACTTGAGCAATTTTCAGCGTAGAAGATCTTGGTTGCGTGGAAAACGTAGCATTCACACCTACGTGCAACCGCCAATTGGCTATAATCCCTATGCAAAAACGTTTTTCAAAGAAAAAAATAAGAAAGTGCTTTATTTTTGTAAGCTGAAAAAGGCGAAGTGAATCACCTTTTTGTCAAGTTTGATAAATTCTTTCAAAGGGCGTGATCAGGTCTTTTCAATGACGTGCTCATCTTGCAGAACAAGCGCTCATCAAGCAAAAAGGATAATGAATGAACCTATTGAGCAACCTAATATAGGGACTTCCAAAAGTTAACAGGCGAAGCATCACAGATATTTTGACATGTTATAAACTTGTGGACATCTACTCTGGAACACCGCTATTTATTGTTGGTCACTATTGTAAAGTGCCACTTAAACATGTTAACGAACGTCTGTAATATGCCCCCCCCCCCCCATTACACTACTCTTAAGATTGTAGATACCAGCTCGATTACGGCTTGATAAGTTCGTCGGAGTATCGATTTTGTAAAACACCTCAAATGCTCTCCAGGTTATGTTATACATTTTATGAGCAACAACATGCTTCATCTGATTTTCTTTGAAACCCTCATCCCATTTTATCCATAGCTTTTGAGTAGTCAAAGGAGAGCTGCTCTATTTAAGGCAAAGAAAGTTAGATAACACAGGTGTACACAACATCAAGTAGTTTGTGACGAAGTCAGGAAAACAAACGATGTACTGAAGAACTTACCAACGTTTTCGGGGTAGTCTTCTGTAGCAGTTGAATGTGTTGTTGATGTTTCTGAAATGTACTCACAACTGTTACTTAAGATATTTGTTAAGCTGATTCATTTATAGACATACAGGAAGGTGTGTATCAGGAAGATCTAAGTTTATAAGAGACTATATGTTGAGCTCTCTTGTTAGTCAAAACCCCTAACTTACGATGATCTACAGGGAAAACGATGGGAGTCCACTCTATGGATTGCGCTGGCACTGCTTGCTTGTGCTCGAATGTTGTTGGAGGAACAAGGTTTACTAGCTGATTTTCAGCTCCTTTGCGCCTTTCTATTCATACTCCAATAAAGGCAGACAATCTCGTTATCCGAAAAGCACCTTACCTGGTATGAGATTAGCACTTCGATCATCAATTCTAGCATTGTCTGGTGGGGGTACTACTATTGGTGGAATTGTTGATTTGGTTGAGCGTACAGCGGATGCTGGTGTTGTAGTTCTTCCAAATGCCTTAGTGGTCAAAATCTAGAATACGATTGCATTTAACTTTGAAGGTCTCGTGTTTTTCTTTCCTACTTCGGTGTTTGGCTCTGAGGAATTCACCGGTTCGTCTATCGGCTCCTCGTATTCATCATAATACTCCGCATCCATCGCGAGAACTTCGTCAAAATTCACTTTCTTTGCAGGCACTGATGTGACAACTGGCCTAGGGTCAGTTAACAATTTCATGACTATAACGTAATACTTCTGGGAAAAGTAACATACTACTGTCTCACCGAATTAGTTCAATCGGCTCCGCTTCCACTCGAGTTGTTGGACGTGGACTAGTCTTAAATAGTACTCCAGCGTCGATGACCATATTGCGCACTTCTGCTTGTCTTGGTGTAGGCGGTAGAGATGGAGGTTCTGGAGTCGTTACTGTAGTAGACGGAGTATTTGGTGTGAGCAGCGGAAGCGTTAATGAGAGTGTTGGCTGGGTTGCAGGAGGCAGCACAATAGGTGGCAGAGTTGGTGTGAGGAGCGTTGGCGCAGGAGGCAACACAATAGGTGGCAGAGTTGGCGCTAAGGAGGGTGTCGGCTGGATTGCAGGAGGCAACACAATAGCTGGCAAAGTTGGAGCAATATTTTCTTTAATTGTGAAATTATTGTGTTTCTTTTCTTCTTGCCTATTGCTAGGCGAGTCCTGTTGCGGTATATTGCGATGATCTTCTCCCCGGTTTGTTCGTTCTCTTGAAATTTGACTTCTCCTCCTTGTAGGAGTGATGCTTTGCTCAGAGCGACTGTTCTGTATGGGTGCAGGCTCCATTTTGAACGATGAATCGAGGTTCTGCATGCTTTGTTTAGGATTTATCAGTCGCGGAGGAATCTTCTTCTTCTTTAACTTTTTCAACTTCTTGCGCAGCGGCGGAGCCATTGTATGGAATCCTGGTGAACTTATGTGTGTCAGTTCTACCAGACCAGGGAGCTCCTGAATATATGCAGTAGCGACAACGTTGGAAATTTACTTACTGCTAACCTGTGCAAATCTCATGCGCGGTTGCCTATGTTGAGCAATGAGTATAGTCTGACGATTCATCGTAGTAATGCCATTTGCATGCCTTCTAGTCACTGGTCCTGAGTCGAATCTGAAAATTTGATCTTACCAGGTGCTATTCGCGCTCTGTTGCTTGAGTCACATAATCGCTACCTATGAGTAATGTGTTAAGAAGTTTGGAGGTATCAAAACTATTCAGGTAGCTTTCCATAATATGCTGCTCAGGGAACGATTTCCACCGAGCCAACTAAAATGTTAATCATGATTGTGTGCTTGTGCTTATTGTTAGCACGAACAATCTGACAGCCTGAGGAAGGTTAATTTTACGTGTCTTTTAAGCCTCCGAATTTCTACCTGCTTCAGCTAACGCTTCGCTCCAGTGTTGATAGTTTGACTGATTGATAGTTTGGCTATGTCAGGTTCCAATAGTGGTAATGTTTTCAAAAGTACGTTCGACGTTTGTTGTAAATATGAATTGCTTTCTGATAACTGCGTTTTCGATATAGACAAACGAAATTGCTAGGCAAAAGTTTTTTTTCGCCCCATATTCACTTTGAATGGTGATTCGAAGGATGCTACGCTTATAGCTTTGCTTGCAGTTGATGACCATTTGCAAAAACTTTTGCACTTTTTTCTTCAATTCCTAGCGCTAGTTTACTGTCGTTTTGTAGGAAGCGATTGAAACGGTTGCGTTGTGTATTTGCCTAAAGAAAAAAGGTTTCTTGATGAGCGATGCCTGTTGTTCGCCCGAAGATGTTGTAACTGATACACTTTCAGTGTATGTAAGTAACTCGCAGATAAAGGTAATTTTTTCGCAAAAAAGTGCAGCCATGAATAAAGTCCATTTTCGTAAGACCCAAATGTCTTTCCATAATCAGAGCCTATTCTACGTTGATATTTGTAGAACTCACTCAGACAAAGCTACTTTTAGAGAGGACTACGCGCATCAAGTTCTTTGCCCTGTAGTTTTTAGTGTACTGGCTATCGTTTGTCGGCACAGAGTACGCACAGAGCACCTCTTTTCGCTCTAGTACAGAAGATTTTGATGTACTTCACACACAGGGGAGTGAATGTAGGCTCAAAAATGCGTAGCTCTTCAGCTTTAATTGTGAGGGATCTTTGCTAACACGCTGTTCAAGCGTCATTGTTTCTAATGCTTGCGGATCTCATTATAAAGTGAAGGGGTAATCGGAAGATAGTACGAGTATAAATGTGACCGCTCCAAATTGAAACTCAGCATGGTTCAGCTTTTTTGGAAGCCGGCGGACTTCGTCCAAACACAGAGAATGTTTGGGAAGCAGTCATATCCTCAGCTATTGATATTGCTGGTTCTCAGGCGGCTGCCTTGTGGGCCTTGTTTGAATATTGCGCAGAGATTATGTGAAAACTTATGTATGAAAATCGGTTATTAGGACGTAGAAATGTTTTTGCGTGCGCTGGATGAGAAACAAGCGCCTTCTAGATGACTAGTGAAATCCAAAAAAGTCAATAACATGCTGATAAACTATCCTACGGTCTTCAACTAGGAAAGAACGCACAATCAAGTAGTATTATATATCGCAGTCAGACGAAACATTCTTGCCTTGCAATTTGCCATTATTTAAAAAATTGTCAAATAACCAATCAGCTTACTCAGCTCAAATTTGAAAATATTGAACTTTTGAAATACCACTTGTTTATACCGTGCATTTTCAAAATCAAGGGCGAATTGCAGAACTTTCAGTCTTGCACAAAGTACTTTAAGAAAAAAACATGATCAATTTTTACCTCGAAGGCCTTTATTCATCAATTTTTTTGCATTAGTCTCTGTCTTTGCCAGAGAACGAAAGCATAGGATAAATAATTCGATGTATGTATTCGAATAATCTACCGATAAATACGGTCACCACGAGCACGAGGCAACTGGCTGTACCATCCATTACTCGTTTGTTGTGGATATCCTCCTTGTACTGAGGTAGAATGGAAGTGCGATTGTGCAGCATACGTGCGGGAGGACGAACTTCGAAATTCGGAATATCTTGAAGAGGGCTGGACTTTTTGTGACCATTGCTGTTGCTCCACACGCTGAAAAGCACTGTCCATGGGGCTGCAAAAAACATATCTTGCAAGCACACCAGCCAATTTCAAAGGCAATTAGGCAGGAACTGTCGGTTTCACACTGCGACTGTCAATTACACTGCGAGAAAAGCATTGTTCTCACCCGCATACCGGTCTTATATTCATTCCGTCAAAAATGATGTCAAATCAGTGAACAGTGGAAGCAGTTATGATTTACTCCACACACTTATACTTGCACTTTCTTGAACTAGATGTTATGTTGCACGTATACTTCACTTGCGCGCACATCTGCCACAAACTACATGGGCACACATTTTACACCGTACCAGTTAGATGCGGAGACGAGCTCTGTATCTCCCCCTCCCCACAAACTCCACTCTCCTATCTCTGCGTGCCACTTCTGAGCATCCCTTTTTCTGGACAAAATATAATTGGTAGCAGAAAAGTTTTTCGGAGTTCATACGGTTCATCTATGTTTTTGCCATGTTTACAACTATCTGTTAACGTAATCCTACATGTGAAAACATTAAAATTGATAAGTCCTAAGAGTTCTTACTGTTTAATCGCCTTCAGTATACTTTTCTTCTTAGAGGCTGCAAACAATGAGAGACCGATTAAAGTTGATAAACGAAGCAGTTCTAATCTCAACTTAACGCTTACACAAGAAAAAAATCAGAGCATTAATTTGTTAATTCAACAGGTTCCAGATTCTTAACTCGAACTTTGCTAGAATCAACAATCTGGTAACGGCAATTAATGGTTTAATCAAAAGGGCGTTTAGTAAATCCCAAAGCGAACAAAGAATCTAGCTTTATGTGGGGGATGTCCCAAGAAAAAAAAAGTTTAATAGTTATAGAGTAATTTTTATCTGCACATAACAAAGATTACCGAAATCGGTTCTCATAACTACAAGATTTGCTAAATTCTAAAGGCTGCGCCTTTGTCTGTCGATACTTACCTCACCAAGAAAACCGTGAACTCTCTTGCAATCAACTGATGTAACATTAACACGTCGCTGAAGGCAAAGTCATGAAAATTCTCGATTTTCGCATTGCTCATGTATATTTTATGTTATGCGAATGGTGACGCAAAAATGACAAAAGAGCATTGAAGAGCTCTGTTTTGAACCTAAGCGGGCTAAGGCCGGTGACGCAGAGTTGGTAAGGGACCTTTATGACTATAATGCGCGGGAGGCGCAGATGAGAGGGAAGAATGAAGCTCAAGCTCCTCTGCTGTGGTGAAAGGGTTGCCTTGTCATGGGAGGGCGGACTAACCCACGATTTAGAGTAACCTTCCTGTTTAGATTTTTCAGTCAAATTCTCACGGATGCGATTCTGGTAACCATCTAATTTGAACAGTCATTACAGACACACCGTATACCGTTCTTTGATCCTCAAAAAAGTGGTCCTAGAGTCAGGTAATCTTCTTACTGTAATAACATGAATTAAAATCACAAAAGTTTTCCGATTTTCTTGAGAAATTCAGAAGCGGCACCTTTTTTGCCATGGAAGATGTGTTGATAATCTTAGCCCAATTTTCTAAATGAAGAGCGTTCAAAAATAAAGAAGGAAACTGTTGTATGGAAACATTAGTCGAGGCCCATTTTTCGGAATTACAAGTTCGCGGAAGACGTTGATCAGAGAATTATCAGAGGCACCGTACAAACACATTTGGATTCAAAAGGATCGCACTCGTAAACTGACCCAAAGGGGCTGATTAACCCTAAATGTTGCCTAAGACTGCGTTTATACTGATTCCGAAACTCGGGAATAGTTCCAGCACGGCGTGCAATTCGAGCGCTGTGGTGGAACTGTTACCCAACTTTTGGATCAGTATGAACGCAGCCAAAGCGGCTGGTCGGATAGTGCGCGCAATCGTAAGCTTCTAAACCAGACCTCGCTACCGTCTTTGGTGGCGACTACCAGTTTTCATGCTACTGCCTGAGGACTGGTGCCGCTTGGATGGTTTTCCGCCAAAATCTGTGGGTCGATGTAAGGCTAAATACAGGGTACGGGACTATATGTTGGCGACGTAATATTCTCTACTCATAAATACGTACTGGGGACAGGGAACCTGGAGCTTTAACTCAAACAGTGCATGTTTTGGGACGTAATCTTAAAATAAAGAACTTTACCTGATCGGTATATCCTGGACCATTCCTCGTAATCACCGTCGTTCTACCATTTGGAGTAGCACTCTGTTGATATTGTGTCCTGTGATCACCGTTCAAGGACACTGACTGTCGATAATGTGTTTGACGATCTCCGTTCGAGGAAGCAGCATGTTGATATCCTCCACCTCCCCCTCCAATCCCGCTTGGCTGCCCGTCCACAACACTTTGTGGATAACTTGCTTGCTGTTTGTCAGCAAATGCATAGCTTGAAGACCGCTGTCCATTCGCTTGCTGGTACCAAGCGCGTTGATCTCCATCAGCGGAGGCAGCATGTTGGTATCCTCCACCTCTCCCTCCAGCCCCGCTTGGCTGCCCGTCTATAACGCTCTGAGGATAACTTGCTTGCTGCTTGTCAGCGAAGGCGTAGGTCGAGGAGCGCTGCCCATTTGTTTGCTGGTATCGTGCTCGTTGATCGCCATCAGTGGAAGCAGCATGTTGGTATCCTCCACCTCTCCCTCCAACCCCGCTTGGCTGCCCGTCTATAACGCTCTGAGGATAACTTGCTTGCTGCTTGTCAGCGAAGGCGTAGGTCGAGGAGCGCTGCCCATTTGTTTGCTGGTACCGTGCTCGTTGATCGCCATCAGTGGGGGCAGCGTGTTGATATCCTCCACCTCTCCCTCCAACCCCGCTTGGCTGCCCGTCCACAACGCTCTGAGGATAACTTGCTTGCTGCTTGTCAGCGAAGGCGTAGGTCGAGGAGCGCTGCCCATTTGTTTGCTGGTACCGTGCTCGTTGATCGCCATCAGTGGGGGCAGCATGTTGATATCCTCCACCTCTCCCTCCAACCCCGCTTGGCTGCCCGTCCACAACGCTCTGAGGATAACTTGCTTGCTGCTTGTCAGCAAAAGCGTAGGTCGAGGAGCGCTGCCCATTTGTCTGCTGGTACCGCGCTCGTTGATCGCCATTAGTGGAGTCAGGGGGTCGGTATGCTGCAAGCTGTTGTTCACTTGCACTTTGCGCACCTTGCTGGAATTGCGCTCGTTGGTAATCTCCTTGATCCCCATTCATAGAACTTTGTAGGTAACTTTCGCTGGAATCTTCTTCTCTTGTCCGTCTCAAAGCTTGTTCGTAGTTTTGCGATCTCTAAATCAAACTGCTATATCCTACGTAATGAGTTATATCAAGATTTACTATATGACAAAGTTGTTGGCATGCGGGTTATATGAATATTAAGAATGGCAGCTAAACCATCTCATTTTAAGAGCAAGCATCAGCAAAAAATCTTTGGCTACTAACTGCGAATAGATTACCCAAGTGGTACATATCAATCGTTGAATGAACTTTACAAGTACGTTGTTGATTCCCCGCGAGGTCATGGCAACATGGCTATGATTTAACAACTATTTGAAGTTTTCTTGCCTGATCAGGAAGCTGCTGCTCTAGACCGTAATTTTCCCGTTCACTATCTTGCAACGACCAATCGGAAAGGCTCCTTTCTCTGCGAATATGAAAACGTTGTTGAGGTCGTTGTGGAATTCGAAAGTGGGATCCCGCTAGAGCAACTTCAGCAAGTGAAGCATGTGGAAATATAGACTTCTGAAAAATCGCTCATCCCTGAGTAGGTGTTATACATCAATCATTCCGTAAGTGGCATTACATTTCTTCTGGCCCAATAATTTTCATCCATTCCTGGTCCGTGCTCTGCAAACTCTCCACAATAGTACATACAATGAGGATAAGAATAGAAGAGGTTCGAATTTCCACCACAACCGGTCCACCAGCTGAATTTCCAAGCACTTGGGAAAGAATTTTTTGGGATTTGATACCTGCACACGCATTGCTTTTTGTTCGCGTCGAAAAACCACCTCTCAAAATCATTATTGCATTCACCAGGATCGTGTGGTTGGAAGCATCGCTCTCTGTTTGAGGTAGGTTCAAAATGGCAGGCAGCATTACACTCTGAAATATCAACATGTACTCCAAAAAGCTTCGGATGTTGTGATCTCATGTAACAAATGGATCGATTTTATACATGTATGCAAACTAAAAAACTTGATAAAATGTGCTGATACCTTCTAAAGTGTTGAATCGATTCTCATTTCCCTCACAGCCACCGTAGTGGAAACGTCGACATCGATGATCATAGCGATCGTAGTACCTAGGCAAACAAGTGGTATTTTACTTCAATCTATAATTATCATACCATTGTACTGTGAATTGATCACAGCTCCCTCTATCGAGCGGCAAATTACATCTAGGATTACTCAAAAGCTCCTGGGCATCTGAGGCTGCAAAGAGCAGCCAGAGAAGGAGCATCTGAAAATATTTTCTGTTAGAAATAGGTAAACAGTTCTTTTCGTAGATAAATGATCAAGCATAGACTCATACACTGCAAAGCGATAAAAAATGCAGCTTTGGCTTGATATAATCGAAGCTGCATGAAATTCTGCGCAGAAATGTAAGATTAAGAAGAATTGCAAATTCTAGAGCTTATCAACAGTAATTGGTGCCTTAACAGGGCACGATACTTGGTGAGCCCGACCATCCATAATGGTTCGTATATCAAAGAATGCGCCTTTTGATGCTGGTTCGAATACTGTTTTCCACATATGCGAAACAGGAACCCGGATGGAGTTATATTTATTTTTGCAAAAATGAATTGCACTGCAGCGTAGGGTGAAAATCATTTACAAAAATATTGCTTTCCTCTTCAAATGCTAAATTGATTTAGATGGTTATAAATACAACGTTACACCTTTCAGATTTCACCTTTCCTCCTCAACAGCTTCAAACGGTTGAATAGGTCAAATTGGGTGATTTTAACTACCCTTCAGGTGTATAAGCCGCGGGGTGTTCCCAGCTTACATCGACCAGCCCGAGCACATCAAAGAACCTCGCGACCAAAGGATAGGATGCTATACCGTGCTGCGTATTGCCTGAAAGAATCGTGCGGCATAAGGATCGCTTCTCAAAACACAATGAAGCGGCTGAGCAGCTCGGGCGAAAATTCGAAAAAAGTGCGGCTTATACGCCTGAAAATAGGGTACCTAAAAGTACGCAAATTCTCTACGAAAAAAGTTCATAACTGCCTTCATGTGGACGTTTCGCAGATTTCGAGCACAGATTTAGATTCGGCGCTTCGAGGTGCACCTTATGGTAAACATCGCATGCCAAATGGCGGGGGTCACCAAGTATCCTTCCCTTGTTAGAAAGGCTAAATCGCTTGTTCAGAGAGACTTTTAGTCTCGCATAATTATGGAACCAACAAGTATTAAGAATGGTTGGAAGAATTATTATGTTGTCAAGAAAGTTCCTGGGCACTTGCGAAATTTTTTTTAAACTGCTGTGATTTCAATCAGATTGATCCTTTTTGGAGACTGCAAACTTCGCTGCAAAGGCAATGTTGTTTACAAATTATGCTCAATTTGTTGGTTCCTCAGCGCTTCATTTCGAGCCACCAGCATGCGCAGTAGGGAAAAAGGTTGACTCAAAATCCTGCCTGTTAACGGCACCGTCCACCCAAAATCTCGTAGTCAATGTTTTTGTCGCCTTCAGGCCTTCTGAAAGCCCTGATTCCGAGTATGGAGTCGAAATCCGCGAAACCCCCAAAAATTCCTGTCTCGAGAACCCTCTGCAACAAGCGCAGGCGAGATAAAGCATGCAAGTGGGCGGGGCGACCACGGTCGCCCCGCCTACTTTGTTACTTCCGGAGCGGATTTCTCGCTTCAGAAGCAGTCTTTTGCGGCGAAGCTTGGGGATTTGTCTAGCGTGGGGGCCCTCACTAGTACGCCATCATAATCTTGCCAACCTCCATTTTGGGTGGACGGTGCTGTCCGGGCAAATAGTCGATTTTGAGATTTTGTGCTTATCCAGGCCTATTCGCTATGCTGAATCCGAAAATCCACACTGAAGAGCGCGAAAACGGCGAAAAAGGGCTCTAAGGCAGAAGGGAAATTAGAAGTTGGCGGAGTCTTCCCACTGTGAATTCACGCTCCCAGCTTCCGGAAGGATCTTCTCGGTTCCGATTTCAAGTCATGCATTCGCACTTGGCTTCTGAAGATGTCAGGGTGGCTAGCGAAATTGAGAAGATCGCACTGAAAGCCAGGACCGTAAATTCACAGTGGGGAGGTCCCCGCCCACTTGCTAATTTCCCTTCTGCGTTAGAGCCCTTTTTCGCCATTTCTGCGCTCTCCAGTGTGGATTTTTAGATTCAGCATAGCGAATAGGCCTGGGTAACACAAAATCTTAAAATCGACGTTTTGCCCGGACACTGCCTTTAATGCAGGAATTTCTCAGGCACGAAGAGAGGCTGGAGAGCTCACATCCGGTTGTCATGTGAAACTCTGCTGGGACTTATAGACTGCGTCACAATTTTAGAGCACAGCCTGTGCAAAAAATTCTACCGATAAAATCAAAATCGGCCATTTTTGCACCTCAAAATGCCCCAGTTTCTGAGTAAATGAGTTTGAAGTCTTCCTTTTCTCACGGAATGAATCAAATCTTTGATTGTTGCAAATATTGATGGGGTAGTCTTGCACATCTTTTGGGCCCATCACCGAGGGGTGACGATCCTTACAAAATCGACGCCATCTGCGAAAACAAGTAAGGTCGAAGGCAAGTTTAAGAGCTTGTAATTTTTGTGCGCGTATTGTAAAATCTCCGAGCACAGCCGCGGTTTCAAATTAGACAGCCGCCTTTTTCAGAGTGATCAACATTTGCTCAGACAATCGCTGGGGGCAGGCGGGCACCGGAAAAATAGATTGCTGATTTCTCGCACCCCGCTCGCGGATTTTTTGCAAAGCAATCAGGACTTTTTGGAAGACCGCTTGCTGAGTCAGCGGATTTTTGAGAGACCGCCTGTTGAATTTTTTTCGCTCTTATCTTTTGCAGATATATTGCTGAATCTCTGAGAAATCGAGAACTCAGCAAGCGGTCTTCCGAAAAGTCCTGATTGCTTTGCAAAAAATCCGCGAGCGGGGTGCGAAAAATCAGCAATCTATTTTTCCGGTGCCCGCCTGCCCCCGGCGATTGTCTGAGTGAATGGCTTTCTTTGTTCACTGCGAAAAAATGGCAGCAAATAATGTGAAATTTTCATCGTTGCACAAACTTCCTTTTTTAGTGTGTAGGTCAAACACGGCTTGGCGTCAATAAAAACTGAATGCGAGTCCGGAAAGCTTAGGCTTTTTCTTACACAATCGCATAAAAAAATCGTCGTATAAAGTGCGAAATGCGAAAAAAATGAGTCTGAAAATGAAACTTCCAAAACTGCCGGGAACTTTCTTTGTAACCTAATATTTAACACAGACTTTGCCTAACGAGAAACAGATTGACAATGATTGTCAGAGCATACCTCTGCTCTTAAAACGGTTTTTTATCTAAGAAGAACTTGCACAACAACCATCCCCTTTTCCACAGATATGTCGAGATTTCTTAAAGGTGAGCATAAGTCAAGTAATCGTACGAAAAAAGTAATATTTGAGCTATTGAAATACGGCTGTTTTTTTTTCAAGAGTACGGGCCCACAGGAATTTAGAAACAGACTAAAAATTTTTTGGACACTAGCCAACCCAGTGTAGTCAAGAGACTACGCCTCCTTTCCGTGCATATTGCCCGCCATAGACAGCACCAGCGGTAGTTACAAAGAATTTGCTTCTATTACTACTTATTATTAGGTTGAACCGAATGTTCTGTCGCACTATTTTCAAAAAATCATAACTTCCTTCCCTCACAACGATTTTGCGCAATTCATATTTTCTCAGAAAGCGAAAAGCATGTAGTTTCCAAAAGTCCCTTGGGGACTTTCCAATATGCTCAGGTTACAGAGATAAAAATGAAAGAGCGTTCTAAAAATCTGGAAATTGTGCGATAAAATCCAGAACAGCCATCATTAAGTTTTCTCATGTTTTATTACTAACCGAGTCAAGTTTGTGCTGATCGAGCCCTTCTTTCAAAAGTTCAGTTTTTTTTAAAGAAATTCCAAAAATTCGATTTCTTAGGAATTCTTAGGAAATTGATTTTTCAGCAGTTTTTTCAAAAAATCATAACGTTCGAAAAAAGATTTTGATCAGCACAAACTTGACTCGGTTAGTAATAAAATATAAGAAAATTCCGACTTTCGGATGATCTCGCTCTTTCATTTTTACCTCTGTAACCTGAGCATATTGGAAAGTCCCCAGGGGACTTTTGGAGACTACATGCTTTGCGCTTTCAGACAAAATTTGAACTGCGCAAAATTGTTGTGAGGGAGAGAAGTTATGGTTTTTTTGATAGTAGTGCGACAGAACTTTCTGTTCAACCTAATATGTTACCTACTCCCTCTACTACTCTTCCTTCTATTACTTTATTTTATTTATTCTCCAACCATTTCTGTCAGAGTCTCTTTCGGATTGCATTTTTGTGCGAGGAGGGATGGGGAGGGGGGGGGGGGGTCGTCTGACACGGGGCTGCAGGTGGCAAGCTGAAAATCGGTATAGGTGGAAAGCAAAGAGGGCTTGTTAGATATGCTTTTGGACGCCCCCCCCCCCCCCTCTCCTCCCATCATTACAAGTTTGCACGCGCGATCGACCGGTACAAACACGATCTTGCTCAGGCGTCTTCTTCAAAAACTAATTTCTACACCAAAAGTAGTAAATAGTTGACTTGCTAGCGCACCACAACGATAAAACACCAAATTTGGTATACAAACGGAAGAGAGCTAGGAAAAAAAGCACTGCAGGGAACTGTGGAAAAATTATGTGCTGGAGCTTGCAGAGCTTTCCCAGAAAATTTTACGCTAGTGAAAATGGAAGAGATAACCGCTTTCAACCACAGGTAACGTTAAGGTTACGAATTTGGTGTAAATGCGTAATGTGGAATGAAAACTAAGTATGATATATGGAGAACTTATGTGAAGAGCATGCCCAACCTTCCTTCAAATTAGGATAGCAACAATCACCAAAATGCCATTCTAAGGGTTGCAAAGCTCTCAGTCACATAACTTCCTCGTAATTTTCGCAAAAATCCTTCCTGTACCCAAAATTTAGTATATAGTGACATCTTGGTTTCAAAGTTCTTCCTTCCTCTTCTGTTAGGGTGCAAAGTGGAGTACGCAGGCTCTCTTGTGGAAGAAAGCGACTTTCAAAACTACCCCGCAGCAAGAGCAAGCAAGTGGAAAATCGTAAAAATCCACCGAGACAAAGGCGGATTTGTTTCAAAGGTGCATATATGTCACCCTTTGCCGGGCCGTGGGGGAGATGTCTCAATAACGGCGGACGGGTGAGGCTCGGAAAAGACAATTTTCTCTGTTTTGGGCCTTCGCTTCCATTCGATCAAGCTCGTTGCATG